ATCTACTTCTTGTTCCATTACCAGAGCCTGCTCGAGGCCCACTAGTGTGGGGATGACCCCGTTGAAACGAGGCGGACGAGAACCGAACTGGATTCTGTAACCTTTCTCTACAATCTGCAGGACCCATTTTGAGATATTTGGTAGAAGTTTCCACGCTACCAGAAAATCTACTAAGGGAACCAGCCTCTCGAGGCTGGCCTCTGGTGTTATTAGAGGAGCCAATTCGGTGCCCTGAAGCGGATGACCGGCACCGACTTGACGACTTGACTGCTGTAGCACCTTTACTTGAGGGGGCGAGCTCTCCTGTGCCGTACCGTTGCCGGGCGGCATTTCGCTCATGGAGCTCACTGAGCCCTGAAGCACCGAGGTGGCAGGGGTATCAATGAACCACCGTGAGGGCACTGAGGGAACAACCGACCTGACTGCTGTAGCCTCTTCACTTGATGGGGTGAGCTCGCAGCGCGGGGTTCCGAACACTGAGAGAGAGCAGCGGATCTAGCGGGTGAGGACCGAGAAAAGGACGAGCCCGTCTCGGATCCCTCCGCTAAATCCACCTGTGAAACAATCACTGCAAAACCATTTCACTTGCACTCAAAATCAAACGGTGCTCTCAGATCACACACACACACGAGTCAATAAAGAAAACACTACAGAGCATTCATTAGACACTACAGAGAAAAATGGAGAACACAGCATCCAGAACATTACAGAAAAAAGTCTATTGTATTGAGTAAATTATTTTGCAATTCTGTAAAAAAGTACAGTAATTGCAACTGAGTAAGGTGAATATATTGTATAGGCCTACTGTATGTACTGCAAGAATAGTATTGTGCTGAGAATTGAATAGTACTGAATGTTTGTATATATTCAACGCTTGGATACTACAAAAATACTGCAGTCCAACTGCAAAGGCCAAAAAGGTCAAATAAAACTCTAAAGGAATGGCACGTTACAGTACCATTCAGATCTAAACAAAAAGTTGTGCAATTGTAAAATCAGGGTCAATGAGAGATTCATTCTGTCTCAGCATCATGTCTTTGTGCTTGAGTCCGGCCTGAGGACTTTGTCCACATCACAAGTTATGTAGTCTTTTTTGCTAGACAAAGCAAAAAAACCCTCTGGGCTGACAGATCCAGCCTTGATAACACTCTCTAAATCTTACTCTTTCTCTCCTCATCCTCTTCTTTCACATCCTCCACTTCTTACATGTACTCTTCCTCCTCTCCTTCTCAGATTGTTTCCATCTATTGTTCGTATTATCATTCAGTCACCTGTGCCACTTGTGCACTCTGAACTGGCTCATATTTTGTATAGTTGGTTTGATCACATCATTAGAAACAAGAGTGAACAATTTTGAATCGTTGTGTGCAAACGATGACAACTATGCTTTAGTTGTGTTTAACTTTTGCCGCTTGTGTTTAGCATTTTGCAGCACAAATGCATCACAGTGTGACAAGTGTTTAAGTGAATGAGAATGTGTTTAGAGTTTTGCAAAAAGAGTGCATGAGATTTGCAAATAGAGCCTAACTGCCTGAACGTGTTTAAGGTTTAGCAGAAAGAGTGCTTTATTCGACAAATTGGTTTAAGCTGGTTCAGAGATTGAGAATTTGGTTCAGAGATTGGGGTTTAGTGTTTTACCAATTCAGAAAAACTGTAATGAGTATGTCAGATTAATTCTGACACTCTCTAAACCTGATGCTCAGGAGTCTAACCTTTCAAGAGCAAAATTAAAATCCATCCCATCACTCATTAGGTATGTTAATACATGCAAACGAATGGATGCCATGTGTTTGACCCTACCAAGGACATTCTCTGTCCGCATCTCAGAAAGGTTCTCTGCTCATCTGCCTTTTTAGAACAATTCTATTCCTGATATAAATTAAATAGAAATTACATTAAGTATTCTTACTGAAATTACACTAAATTCAATACTTCAAACTACATGCTCTATATGAGCTAACTGTCTATTTGTGTTCAATATCATCTTACCATCCGCAGAAGAATATTAATAGAAGGAAACATTTTTATACCTGAGAATAAGGATATATCTCGTTCTCAGTGACATGCTCTGACATTTCATTAAATCAAGTATAGGGCTTAAGAACTGAACAGACATATGCAACTACACTGATTGGTGTAGTAACAATTTCCCCATATAATTACAAAGAAACAGCAAGTAACACATTAAATGAAATGTGAAAATTTCCAAAATGCACTGAAATAGCATTTTCTTATAAACTGTACGACAATATTTTTTATTTGCAACTTCACACAGTGTACTGAAATGTGGGATTTTAAAAGAAGGATGTAAGTAAGTAAGTAAGTAAATAAATAAATAAATGTATTATTTGTTTGTTTGCTTGCAGTTGTTTATTTATTTAAATTAATTGTATCCATTAAAGGGCCTCTCAAGAATTATGATACACTGAAATGTTTTTTCAAGAATGTAATGTTTTACATATCATGCAATATCATGCTTTTAATATATATATTTTTAATAGAATTTGCTTTTTGTATACTAATACACTTTCTTTCTCTCTTCATTGTTTAATTCTCACGTAGATTTACCAGGTAGGCATATAACCTATCACCTTTCTCATGTTTGATAGAGGCTCATAATAAAATATATTTATAATGTTGTGTGTAATATTTTATACATTTGTGTGGAAGACACTGTTGTTCTTCCAATGTAAATAAAAAAGTATTTTTAGATAATATTAATGATAAAAATAAGTGTAGCATGATTAACGCATTTCTGGTTTGGTGTTGATGAAGTGCTGCTTTGAGCCTACCTGTGACTAGTGTTGAAGAAGTGACAGTCTGTGTGCGTGTTCAAGGGGGCGCTATTGCTCTAGTTGATGATGCTGTGACTGAACGTGATGAAGCCCTGCAAAAAGTTTGAGCAGGTCGTGAAGAATACAACCTCACACAATCAGCATTTTATTTGTAAAAGTTTCAGACATGAAGCAGCGACGTTTTAAAAATGCAGCAGTCACTCACACGTGCAGTTTGAAGTCCTTAAAATTGTATTTACATGCGGAAGAATGCGAAATAGCAATATGTATATTGCCGCGCTGTCTGAAATGATTCTGCATCCCACTGTCGCTCAGCACTGTGATCGGCTTGTATGTGCGCGCATCCAGGTGTTGACAGAGAAACCTAGTAAGAGTCGGTGAGGAGGGAGAGGGTGTGTGTGTGTATGAGAGGGAGAGAGGGAGAGA